ATGAGTTTATAGGAATTAATTTTCTCCTATTTGATGAGAAGGTAAATATTTATCTTTTTATTTTTTAAAAATATTATATAGTTTTATTATAATATCTATATATATATATTTCTTATGTTTGAAACACAAATATATTTTGTTTATTATATAGGAAAATACTATTAAAAGTTGTGTGCATCATCTCTTATTGAAGGAGCCATTTTTGAAATTTACAAGTTTAAAATACAAGATTCCAATAAAAAGTACAAAATCTCAGATCATAAATTTCAAATAAGATTGACTGATAGAACATCAGTTGCATGTGTGGTTCAACAATTACCTTAGATACCACCTGAAAAATTTTGATTTCAAAATTATGAAAATTTATCTCAGCTGAAAGATTCAACATACGATTTATACGGTAATATTCATATTTATATATATAATAAGATAGAATTTTTTTTGGTCAATTATTTCTTTATATCTCCTTTTTTGTCTTCACTTTATATCTTCCGCATAAGAAAATCTCTTTCAGTATTGAATGCATTATATGTTTAGTAATTATTACATGGACTGATTGATTGGGTATTTTTAATTAATTTTGTTCTAAGAATTAATTAAATCGTGCATTATATATATATATATATATTAATTTTATAATTATTGCAAACTTATATGCATTATAAAATAGTTATTAATTTTATTACTTTCTACAACGCGATAGTTATAACCTGTGCATTAATTTAAATATTATGTTAGAGCATAACTATTTTATATATGTAAATAGTAATAGTTTACAATAATTATTGTAAACTTATATGCATTATAATACCTAACCATTATGTTAGAACAATACCTAAATTTTAAAATTGATGTAAAACAGGTTTCTCATTCTTTTTATGTTTTCATAAAATACAATAAAAATAAACAAAACCCGTGCGCTGCACGGATCCATACCTAGTCATAGAATAAAGGAGTGTTCAATCCGGTAAAATTGAATCAACTAAAACTGAACCAAACCAAAGTAGAAAAATGGTTTAGATTTGGTAATACTGAATAAACCAAATAAATGTTATTTTAAAGAACCACGGTGTATCCGTGTATGGATATGGTTTGGTTTATAAACGGATCAAACCAAATAAACCGAAGAAACTGATTAATTAAAATATATTAGTATATTTATATGCAAATTTTATGATAAAATTAATAATATATACATGATTTATTTATTAATATGATATTCATATTTAAAGTACTGCTTATATAAAATTTTATTTGTTCGAAGTTATTCTCATTTTAATCAAATTAAATTTAACATACTTTTTATTAGTAAATATTTGTGCTAAATTATAGTAATTTAATAATATTATGATATGTAAATATTTTCTTTCTTTTATTTCAAATCATATAAATCTTGTTGTAGAAGAATTTAGGGATAGGCGTTCGGGTACCCATTTGGGTTCGGTTCGGGTCTATTCGAGTTTCGGATTCACAAATTTTAGCCTCATTCGGGTATTCCTAAATTTCAGTTCGGGTTCGGTTCTGATCTTTGCGGGTTTGGTTCGGGTTCGGATAATCCATTTAAATTATTTTTAAAATTTTCAAATTGATTATATACTTTAAATTTCTAAAAATCTATAAACAAAATAATATATTACAAATAATTGAATAACTTAAGTCAAAATACCTAAAATTAACATATATATTAGTTTGATTTGAATATTTGGATTGTGAATCAATAATTGTTTTAAGTATTTTTGATGTTTTGAATGTACTTTAGAAATTTTAGACATCAAAGTTTGACTATTTACATATATTTACAAGTATTTTGAACAACTTCGAAGTGTTTTATATATATTGAATGTTATTTTATATACATTAAATCAAAAAAATAATTAATATATATAGGTATATAAATCTATTTCGGATATATTCGGGTATCCGAAATACTTCGATTTGGGTCGGATTCGGTTTCGATTCTTTAAATACCAAAATTTTGAACCTATTCGTATATTGAATCAATTTCGGTTCGGATTCTATACCACTATTTCGGATCGGATTCGGTTCGGTTCTTCGAATCCGAGTTTCTTTCTCAGCCCAGAGGTGGACCCACATAGAGAAAAGGGGGGTCAACTGACACATGTTAAATTTAATAATTTGATTTGTAAGCTATGTTATGTATTTGAAAACAGCTCTGCTGGTTCCGGTTTTCACACTATGACACACCCAATCCGGGTTAAAGTATCTTCTACTACACCTTGTTTTAACCTTTTTTGAAAATTTTCATGTTAAGTTTGGGCTTTTTGTTAATTTGGGCTTTCAATACAAATCATGACCCACGTAAAAAAAATTACTGGGTCTGCCACTGACCCCAACCCTATAAGAGATAAGTATATTTATGGTTTTTGGCATAAAGAAAATAAACAAAAAACCGCTAATATATAAACCTAACTAAACTAAAATAGATA